TTTCTTTTTTTCTTTTTTTAATTTGTAAGGTAGTAGATTGGTGTGGCAGCTTTTTAAAGTAATCAGTGGAAAAATATCAAACAGCATCAAAGCTGAAGCAGGGCATTGCAGTCTGCACATGTAACTGAGAAGCAAGCACCATTGTTTATATATAGCTAGAAGGTAAAACAAAAAACGAGTGTTGCTGATCAGCCTTCTGAGGTCCAAATTACCTCTGGTGTGGGTATACATATTAAACTCCATGTGGTTTAAACTTCCTTTTTTTAATTTTGCCTGATTTCATATTGTAGCCTTAAGGCTTGTGCCTCATTAATGCTCTTTAATGGTAATAAATACCGTATAAATACAGTATCTTAAACTTTTCCTGTCCCATCGCTGCTGTTGCATTGTGTACAGTATTTCATCATGGGCAACCCCAAGGCAGGCTGTAGTCTTTTCCATGAAGAGCTTCTCAAATGCAGTCCTTAAGCCCTAAGTACCTGAGTCATAAATGTTCCTGTGTTCTTGAACCAAGTGAGCAGATTTGCAACCCAGTGGTTTTTGTTTTGTTTTGTTTCCTCCTTCATTCTGCAGATCTGTATGTTTTCTATTGACTCTTTAGAGTCCTGCATGTAAATCTCAAAAGCTGAGCCTGGCTCCATGAGCCCAAGTTGATATTTGTGGCACAAGAATGAGTGAGTGTATTGAACCACACACAAGATACACGAAACATAGTACTTTGAATTGCGGGCTACGTTAACGGTGAATCCCAGGTGTGCCTCCAGGATTGCTAAGGATTAGGTAGACCGAAAATGTTGCATTCAAAGAGCTTCCAATTGGAGGTTTTCTGCAATACACCACATTCTGCCAGTTGAGAGTGATCTATATTCTTGTGTAAATTTTATGGTTTTTAAAGTGTCCACATTGTCTGCTTTTTTGATAGCTTAACCCACCTTCTTTTTTCTTCTTCTTTTTTTTGAGGCTTGAGACTTGATTCTACTCCCTGCCAATCTGCTTTGGGCTTGTTTTAGGCTCACGTTTCAGATCTGCATGCAGTGCTTGTTACCCTGGTAACTAAATGTTGGTTCCTTTTCTTAGGGGTTCAACATGATTTTCCGAGTTATCATGGGGCTTGTGGTGGCACAAGCTATGGATCTGTGTATAAAAAGTTACTGGCCTTTCTCTCCATTTACCTGCTGTAGTATTGTATATTGTGTGTTTCGCGTGATGTCAGGCTGCCCTGTACAATTTTAAAAAGACAAACTTAAAATGCAGACCATCCCTTTTTTGCATGCTTAGAAGGTAGAATGTTCAATGTAACAAACTTAAAAGTTGCATGTTTAAAAAAATGTTTAGGTTTTTAGTTTCGGGGTTTTTTTTAAATTTTGTGTTCTTTGTGAATTTGCTTATTGTGCTGTTTTTAATGGTGGTTAGTAGGATAAATGCACTGGTGAGGCAAACATAGTGCCAACAGGAGGTAACTTTCCAGTTGTATGTGTCATGCAGCGTTTGAAGGGACCATGTACTTTGCTCAAAATGAAATAAAAAACCAGTAAAATTCAACAGTATGCTTTTTTGTGCCAAATCCTAAATTAAGTTGAAGTAGAATCATATTACGACACTCCCCTCCCCAAACAATGATGGAAAAAGCCTTTTTTTCACTGAATAAATTGCTTAGCCTTCTTAAATTGGTACATTTGAAAAATAAAGGCTTCTCCAGGGATACATTAATTGCAACCATTTCAGAGAACCCAAAAAAAGAGAAAAAGCTTCGATGATTTGTGGTTCCTTGGAAATGCTGTGCTTTTTTGTATTTTACATCATTAGTGCAATTTGGATGGTTCTTGGTATGTGTATAGTTCAAAGGTCTTCGTGTTCACATTTTAAAATTAGGTAAATGACTTCATCTCTAGAGCTTGGTTTCATTTTTTTATTTTTTAACAATGTAGACAGTTCCCTGTTCTCTGCATTTAGAAGTATAAACACTTTAAATCTGTTACTTAATTCTGTAAGTAATTTTTATAATTATGATGTAACTCTATCCTTAAAACATTTAAAATAAACCCTTTATGTGCAACTTACGACTGTAAATCTTGTTCTCATAAGGCAAATGTAGTGATGTGTTTAAAACTGAATAGGATTCTTTCCATTTTTATAATTAAAATTATTTTAACAATGAGCATTTATGCTGATATATACTTGCCTAAGCAGCTATGCTTATTGGGCAATACTTTTGGCCAAGAATTGTAACTTTAAAATCATCCATTTAAAATGGATAGAATTCTTTGGCATTGAAACAGCTTTATTGTACTTTCAACCCAAAAAACCCAAAAAGACAACATCTAAGGAAGTAAGGTAAGTAGGTGAAGCAGCCCCCAAAATATTTTGGAATATTGTCCCCTGTATATACACTTTATCCGGAATTTAGAAGTAGTGGCCTTGAAAACAAAATCAGATATTACAATATTTGCTTTGAATGCCTGATAAAGGTTGATATGAAAACTCTTGACTATGGTGATGACTGGTCCTTCAAAAACATCAAAATTCAAAATATATCCAATTTTGCCTTTTAAAACTGACAGACTTGAGTGGCAGGGGTAAGGCAAAGTATCTGTAAAGAATCCTAAATACAAGCTGATTTCAGTAGAATTTACATGCAAGTAATTCGAGTTTGATGCTGTCACTTAAGCTAGGATTTAGTCCCACTGTTCTAAGTAGCATAAGAAGTTGACATACTAGATTCCTTCAGAAAGCTTTTGGAGAAAATGACAATTTCCCTCTTTCTGCCAATTTGACATGTAGTATGTGCTGGCAAAGACAAAAATTATGCATGTAATGGGCTTCCAGTACAGTACTTAACATTTCCCTACCCATTGAAACATGTTCTCCCTCCCTCATTAATGTGACACTTTCATTTTTTAAAAAATAAATACTTATATCTTACCTTTTCCACCAGTGATGCGTAAGGCAATCACGACAAACTGGGGGGCGGGGGGAGTAACAAAAGAAACTAAATATATTTTAATCTTTTTAGTAGATACATATATAAGTGTTAATTCCATTAATGTTTCATTGTTTTAAAAAAATGTTTTTAGCTGTTCTTATTTTATCTGTAAGCCGTCTTTAAGTCCCTGTCTGGGAAAAAGGCAGTGGAACAGAAAAACACCAGAAAGTTCTAGGTAAGGTCAGCCCCTTTGCTGGCCATGTTCAGGTCTACAGCTTATAGGATACCTACAGTTGTCATATTCTGACCTTCCAGCAGCAAACAGTCTCCTTGCAGCATCCCAACACAGGCTAGGCTTTGGCCAAGAGCAAATTTGCCTCAAACACAGGTGTCTATAGTTTCGATTGTGCCAAGTTGCTCTCATATGCTTAACCAGGTGCAGGATGAAAACACCCAAAATTAAGCACACCTAACTTAAACCCTTTTTTGCCCTTTATCCCTCTGCAGGCACAAACCTCCTTATACATTAACAGAACAAGAGAGGTAAAATGACTCTCTAGGGGGAGAGCCCTCAAAGTACAGTGGTGCCTCGAAAGACGAAATTAATTCGTTCCGCGAGCTTTGTCGTCTTGCGATTTTTTTCGTCTTGCGAAGCAAGGTGTTGGAAAAGTTTTGGAAAAGCTTCAAAAATCACCAAAGTCTTCAAAAACCTCAAAAAAGGCTACCACACCGCGTGCTATGAGTTGCTCCTCGAAGTCAAGTCGCAACTGTATTAACGGTGTTAAGAAAAAGGAAACAAACTTGCAAGACGTTTCCGTCTTGCGAAGCAAGCCCATAGGGAAAATCGTCTTGCGAAGCAACTCAAAAAACCAAAAACCCTTTCGTCTTGCGAGTTTTCCGTCTTGCGAGGCATTCGTCTTGCGAGGTACCACTGTATTTGGGGCTGAATCCACACTGACCTTTTTAACGCCATTAGAACAATATTGGATACATCGTTCTAAAACGTTGCAGGGCATACCTGAAAATTAAAAGCATTTTTTGTTTCCCCCGTCAAAACACTTATTTCCCCTACTGCTGGTTGCTCTGCAGGGCACTCTGGTGTCACATTTTAATAGCACATTATGAACGTTAAAACCAGGGTGTTCGGTCTCCCATCTGTGTTACGAAAACTATTCCTTGACCCTTAACGTTACAAACCATGAGTGTCCATCCGCCCTGGGTGCGGCTGCCAAAAGTCCTTTCCCTGTGTCTCAGGTGTAGCTTTACAGTATGCAGGTCTTCTCCAGAAGATGTTGATCCCCTTTCCTGAGCTGCAAAGCAGCAGTGGATAACTGCAGGCCTAGGACCCAAACGCTGCTTCCCATGCTTTTGGGACTCCACCCAAGCAACACTTCTCCATAGGCCATGGCCTCGCCAACCCTGCTCTGCTCTCTTCCTGAGAGCTTTTGCCTGGCCGACACATATCCTTAAACTATGATGATGCCTCTCGCTTGCACGGATGAGGATGGGTTGGGTAGGGCATGCAAAAACTTAAGATTGTGTAGCCAGAATATCTCTGCAAAGGTAAGAAACCGCCTGGTTGCTCTGCCCACTTCTGTCTCTATCCCTGCCTACTTCTGTGCATGCCCCCTGGATGAAAAGGTGGGAAATAAATGCAAAATAATAATGCTGCCATAGGTTCTCCATTGCTGCTGCCAAGGTTTATAAAGGAAGGAAGAGTTTTATCTGGGCTTGTCTCTGTGCGTCTTACCGAGGCTACGTGTTTTGAACTTGAAAGGCGAAAGGGTCCACTCTCAATGTGGCCCCTACTTGCTTCCTGCGCACTCCAGTGTGGTGTAGCCAGTGTGGTGTAGTGGTTAAGAGCGGAGGACTTGTAATCTGGTGAACCGGGTTCGCGTCTCTGCTCCTCCACATGCAGCTGCTGGGTGACCTTGGGCTAGTCACACTTCTCTGAAGTCTCTCAGCCCCATTTACCTCACAAAGTGTTTGTTGTGGAGGAGGAAGGGAAAGGAGAATGTTGGCCGCTTTGAGACTCCTTCGGGTAGTGATAAAGCGGGATATCAAATCCAAACTCTTCTCCTCCTGTTGGTGCTCGAGTCCTGTGATGATTGGCCATTTACAAGGTCAGCTCCACATTTGAAAAATCACGGGCTTTCATAACCTAATGTCTCTCCCTGGGTGCGGTATGAAAACCACATCAGAAGTGTGAACCAGTTTCCCCTTTAAAACTATTAAAAGAGCTTGGAGGCGTCACATGACCAGCACAACACTAAAATTCTAAACTGCCCAATGGGGTGTTTCTCTTTTAAAGGCTGGAAGGTTTCAAGCACAATAGTGGGTACATTTAAAAGGTTGCAGCCAGTGTGTGTGTGTACATGTATGTACAATTCAAACTGACAAGGTCAAAACAGCTGCCCAAGATGATAGAGTGACATATCAGAAGTGCTGGGATCAGATAATCAACAGGATATGGGGTGCCTTGAATAAGCATCAGGTATGTTTTTGTGGGGGGGACGCAGGTGGCGCTGTGGTCTAAACCACAGAGCCTAGGGCTTGCCGATCAGAAGGTTGGTGGTTTGAATCCCCGCGACAGGGTGAGCTCCTGCCCACCTAGCAGTTCAAAAGCACGTCAAGTGCAAGTAGATAAATAGGTACCGCTCTGGCGGGAAGGTAAACGGCATTTCCGTGTGCTGCTCTGGTTCTCCAGAAGCTGCTTAGTCATGCTGGCCACATGACCAGGAAGCTGTCTTCGGACAAACGCTGGCTGCCTCAGCCAGTAAAGCGAGATGAGCGCTGCAACCCAGAGTCTTCTGCAACTGGACTTAACGGTCAGCGGTCCCTTTACCCTTTACCTTTATGTTGTTGTGGAGCTCAGTGAATCACTGACATTTAAAGAAATGGCAAGAGAGGAATTGCTTTCAACTTGCCCCCTAAACGGAGAATTTCCCTTTGCTCTCCCCTCCCCTGCTTTTGTATTGGTTCTGGCCTTTGAAAGAAATCTGGCTCAAAACAATGAAAATGGCCATTAGGAAAATTATCAGCCTTTAAGTCACATTTTCATTAGATGCAACTCTCTTCAAGGTTTTGTAAATAGTAATTATAGGAGACCCTGTGCAACAGGGCGAGAAACATTTTCCTTCTTATATGCATAGGGTATAGGGTTGCCATATTTCAAAATCCAGACACAAAAAGAACTTTTTTGGGGTGGGATGCAAAGTTGTTGAGAGTGGGGGTTTTTATGTGTTTTTGAGATATTTTTAAGGAAATTTGCCAAAATCTAGACTTCCAACATGGGTTGCCATACAGCCAGATTTCCCTGGACATTTCATCGATTTTCGCCCAGACACCTTATTTCCGACAGCCATATTTCAGCTATGTCTGGGAAATTCCAGATGTATGGCAGCCCTATTACACAACTTGCTACTGTTATATTCTGACTTACAAAAATATTACTCAGTGTTGTTTGCGGTACTTAAATACTAAATACAAAATACCCTAAATAAAAATTTCAAAAGTATCCCAATTCTTAAGTCAAAATAGTAATTGCTATATAAAAAAGATCACATCAGTTCTAAAAATTCTCAATAGTTTACAAAAACGGGTTTGCACTGCTGTACAGTATGACTGTTCCTGTTTAAAGCTTAAGTTATTCTCCAGAGTAAATTGTGCCTTGAGCTTTTGTTGTCACCACAACAGGAATACTTAATCTCTTTCTGACAATGCTTTCCTATACATACAGCATTTATGAAGCTTCCCCTAGCAAATTGCCCCAAAACATTTCGTTACACATATAGCATGTATATTAGATCCAATTGTACATTGTTATTATTTAGCATATCTGATAGAATACTTCATAGAAGTTAAGTTTCTCAAAACAGAGTTTTGTTTTGTTTTTATTTATTAAATATCTATCCCACCCTTCATCCAAAGATCACAGTTCAGTTTACAATTTGGAGTCAGAACTCCGGGTTCTGGGAAGAATATCTTCGGGTGCAGTCTTGTAACACTTACCTGGGAGTAAATGCTATTAGAGGACATGCTATTAGTTCTACTAACTTACTTTTGAGTAGAAAGGCCTGGGATTGTGCTGTTGGTCATTTAATGGATTTTGTCAGCCATTTGAATCTCTTTGCAATTTATTTCCTTTTTTTGTCTAGCTTGGGATGCTAAGACGTTTCTGTACCATGTGACCGGAGGGAAATCCCCATATGTGGGGATCAAAGGATGTTAACAAAATCACACTTTACATAGTGTGAGCCTTTTGAAAAACAAAAATGTTATTTTCTTCCATCAAAGGAAATATGTAACTCCCCCCTTTTGAAGAGGCTCATGAATTGTGCCTCATGTTAATTGCATGTTCTGAAATTGCTGCTCTTACCTGGTCAACAATGGACACATTTTTTCTAAAGGACTCCCCAAAGGAAATATGTGGCCGTTGGCACTGAATTAACAATTACTGCCATTTTCAACTGCAATTAAAGCCATTTTCAATTTGGAAAGGCTTCAGTGTTGCATAATAAAAAACGTACAATGGTTCACAAAAGCATGATAGCGCAAACGAGCCATTAATGCACGACATGTTCATACAGAAGGAATCCAATTCCTACCAGAGTTGTACAGCAAGACTTGTACAGCTACTTTTCGTAGAGGATGCTCACTCGGTAGTAGAAAGTAAACACAGGTTGCATGTCCCCTATTGGTATTCTAACTTTCCCCCCTCAATAGCAGTGGGGAAAAGCAGGTTTCCAGAAATGGTATATGAATTCCCTGGCCTGTGAACATCAAATGTGCTGCATTTCAGTGAGTCAGGGATGTGGGTGACTCTGTAGTCTACACCACTGAACCTCTTGGGCTTGCTGATCAGAAGGTCGGTGGTTCGAATCGTGAGCTCCCGTTGCTCTGTCCCAGTTCCACCCTAGAGTCACGTATCTACAGAAAAGCAGACTTCAGCCTGGAAATGTCTTTCATGTCGTGCCCCGTTAATGCTGCTAGGAATGGGTGATTTTGAAAATGTTGAAGGGGAAGCTGATTTAATAAATATAAAAATTCAGTTCCATAGTAACTGGGTTATTCTATTGTACCCTAGCTAGTTTTTCTCTTAGTTAATACATTGCAGCCCCAACATTTTGGATTATGTCACTGAGAGAATGGAAAGGCAAAACAAGAGTATATATTCCATATATACAAAACAGGCCATTTCTTGAATTATCAGCAGCAGATGTTATAACCAGCTAATGTTTGCTGGATTAACTCTTGAAGTGGGTCTACTGCTGAAAGCTTAGAAGGAAAAGAAACAAAAAAAGAACTGTGCTATGAGAAATGTATTTTATTAGTCGTTTGAAGTTATTCCTAGGATCATACAGGGAAGTTAATAATAATTTTATTATTATTTATATGCTGCCCAGCTGACTGGGTTGCATGAGCCGAACTCTGGGCAGCTTCCAACAAAGTATTAAAACAAGAAAAACCTCAAACATTAAAAACATCCCTGTTTTTTAGAAGACCGAATGAAAGATAAGCAGATATACTGAGGTGCAGCCAGGCCACATTCCAGATCTTGGAAGGTATGGTCTGGGTATTAGGGCTTGTTTGCCAGGATACCCCGATGATGTAAGAGGAGACTGTATGAATGGAATTAAATGGCAAGATTTGAACTCGTTAAATTTACAGCAAAGGCAGATATATGATACACCCTCCCAACATCATGATCTGGGGTAACACACTTTGACTACCTGCAGAGACTCGAGAACAAGGGACCAGTGGGAACAGACAGGGTAGGGAATCCGGTTTAAGTAGCTGTCTGTCAGGGATTGGACTCAAGAGGACGAGATGGAGGAGGAGTGGTGGAGTTCACACACACCCTTCTCCTGATGTTGCAGGAGAAGAGGAATGTAGCATTGATTTACAGCAGGGAGTTGAGGGGGTGGAGGAAAGTTATGACTCAAGAGATAGACGAACAAAATAGTTGGGCAGTTTTAGAAGGGGGGTGGGTGGGATTGCGACAGGGCAGCAAGTTGACATGTTGTCACTGGAGAGTATTTCAGACCCCCCCCCTTCCCCCAGAACTCGGTGTTCAATAAGGGTACAAGAATAACGGAATCAGAGACTTTTGGTCCCAAGCAGACACCGTAAAGGGAGATGTTGCTGTTAGGAATGTGGGAGGTGGAGCCCAGTTTTGAGCAACGCCATTGTTAAGGCTGGATACATTCTTTTGTCTCTCGCTATTTAGACTGAATAAAACTTATTAAAAAGGTCTTAACCTTGTTATCTCTGCTCCTGCTGCAACCAGGAAAGGAACAGCTTTCCAGAAGCCTTGATACTAACTTTTGTTAGCTTTTTTCACAGCAAACATAGGGAAGTGGCTGCTTTGCATGTTAGGTATGGAAAGGTAAAGGTAAAGGGATCCCTGAGCATTAGGTCCAGTCGTGGACGACTCTGGGGTTGTGGTGCTCATCTCGCTTTACTGGATGAGGGAGCCGGCGTACAGCTTCCGGGTCATGTGGCCAGCATGACTAAGCCGCTTCTGGCGAACCAGAGCAGCGCACGGAAATGCTGTATACCTTCCCACCGGAGCGGTACCTATTTATCTACTTGCACTTTGACGTGCTTTCGAACTGCTAGGTTGGCAGGAGCAGGGACCAAGCAACGGGAGCACACCCCGTCGTGGGGATTCGAACCGCCAACCTTCTGATCGGCAAGCCCTAGGCTCTGTGGTTTAGACCACAGTGCCACCCGCGTCCCAATAGGTACGGAAAGTTAACTACAAATAGTTGCGTGAGTAGGGAATGAACTGCACAGATTCTCCATTCCTGGTGCGGACAATACTGAGCTAGGCAGACCAGTGGTTGACTTGGTACAATATGCCTATTGAAAACTGTGTTCTTCCTTTATCCTTCGTGGGCAAGTCAATGTCTTTCCGAGGATTGCAAAATAAACACGCAACCGCTGTTGAAAATACAAAGAAAGACACACAGGTATTCTCTAATCACACTATAAATAGATGGTGAGTGTTTTCATTGCCTGAAAAGGCTGCTGGTTGGTAGTGGCCAAGACATGTTTGTTAGTTGTCTAATACACAGTGCCATCTTGGTGTCAAGTTAAAGCTAATTTGCTCCCTTGACGGAAGATCAGGGACTCTGTATAAATAGAGGCATGGTGACAAACCTCAGAGCACCTTACAGACAAGTAAATAAATACATCTGAAGAAGTAAATACACATAGGCTACATTGCTGTGACCAAGAGATGTATCTCCAAAATGTAGCAACCTCTTTGACATTTTCTCAATGAACTGTTTACACATGCAGTTCTCTATGAATTGTGCATGGTTTCTGGTTGAGTCGCAGAGGCCCAACACTGGCAACAGAAAGAGCAGCTAGTGCGCTATTGGGAAGTTTGCAAAACGCTGACTACAAATGTACATTTATACAACCTTCTATCTGTTACTGCAATGCCCATTTGTGAACTATAGCTTCCATCACCCCTGCTCAAAAATCTGTGCCACTAAAGTTGGTACAGTGGTACCTCAGGTTACGAACTTAATTCGTTCTGGAGGTCCATTCTTAACCTGAAACCATTCTTAACCTGAGGTACCACTTTAGCTAATGGGGCCTCCCACCGCCGCGCCGCCACCAGCACGCGATTTCTGTTCTCATCCTGAAGCAAAATTCTTAACCTGAGGTACTACTTCCAGGTTAGCGGAGTTTGTAACCTGAAGTGTTTGTAACCCAAGGCGTTTGCAACCCAAGGTACCACTGTATTTGTTTATATCACAGTGAACTGCCATAACATTTATCAAGTATAACTTGGATGTAGCTGTTACACATTACCATCCCAGGAAGTAGACACTGTGGTAAAAACATCAAGTGGTAAGCCCACATTGTGTCCTTAATGGAAAAGCCTGAACTGGGTTTGAATGATTTAGAACGAAGATCTGAAACAAAAAGTTGGAGTCTTGCTCCTGTTCAGAGGACGCCATTCCATTCAGCACCGCTAGCCATCCAGCATTCCGTGTCTACTGAGCATGCTCAGCCCTCACTGAGCTGAGTTCTCGTCCCCCAATATGCTTCTGTACTTCTGCAAACCTTGGGGTTCCTCTGAGCTTGCTCTGTCTTGCATTCAGATGATGCTGTTTTGACTACGCAAGTAATGAGGACTGCTTTTTAGAATATAGGATACTGCTTTGAAAGTTGGACTGCAATGCTGATTAAGACCAAAAAGCATTGTACTGTATGTCAACAGGAAAGATGGTCAAAGACTAGAGCTGCCTCAAAGTTGAAGTGCTGTGGTAATGATGGCTTTACGTAAAACGTCATTCAGGTTTACACTCCACCCAGAAGGCTATGTGAACACCAATATATGCCCAGAGCTCTTGAGGGGGCAAGCTGTCCTTTCATTCCAAGATATAGCTCCAACTGCACAAAAGGAATGAGTGGAGATCTGCTTCTCCCAGTCAATCGATGGGAGAAGTTCTTGCAGCTTTGAGCTTCGCATTAGAGCTCCACATCTGAAATACATCAGTGCTTCAGGATGCAAATTTGCAAGGTTATTTCCCAAACAATACCTTCTTTATCTGTTACTGCACCCAAACAAGTTATTTTTATTAAACATCTTCAGCGTATCAGGTAGTAGGTAATTAAGTAAAGATAACATTCTCAGACTAATAGGCTCCTGAGGTGGCTTAACAACCAATTAACAACCATATAAATACTACCATTGTTAAGATTAAGTGCAGACTCTACAATCCCCAACAGCAGCTAGGAACTGAAGCTGTAATTCTAAGCACACTCACAAAGGAGTAAACCTCATTGAACACAGTAGAACTTAATTCTGAGTTAAACATCTAACACTGTGCATTTGCTTCTGCATTAACCTTCCAGGATTTGTCATGAGGCCCCAGGGATTCCCAAGCTCCTTTCTTGAGCTTAGATTTCCCTTACTGGCCTCAAAGAGGTAAAGCAGGCATAGGCAAACGCTGGCCTTCCAGATGTTTGGGACTACAATTCCCATAATCCCTGACCATTGGTCCTGTTTGCTAGGGATGATGGGAACTGTAGTCCCAAACATCTGGAGGGCTAGAGTTTACTGTCATTGTTAATGTTAACTGGGACCCCGTTTTTATCTGGATTTGAAACCAGTTTCAAACGCTGATTCCAAAATTTAGTTTGTCTAAAACTGACCAGGCACACTGAAAAATATTGATTTCTAACATGTTCATGTTTCAGTAGCAGCCAGTGCGCTGGAGCAGAGTTTTGGATCCGGTGTTATTGCCTGAGGCGAAATGGGAAGGTGCTGTCTCACTTACTGGGGTCTCAGAAAAGTTGTGTGAGGCCTTTGAGTGGAGGCACCCCTTAGATTTTGCTGCCTGAGACAGCTGCCTCAGTCTGCCTCATGGATGGGACCGCCCTGTGTGTCACCGTAGCTCACCTGGATGGGGAAATGACAGGGCAGAACCACAGCCAATCTGGGATTCCCACTGGACGTTACTTGTGGCTTTGAATAGTGAGGAGAGAATATTGGTTGGAAATAAAGAAACGGGTTTTTGGAAGTTTCTGATTGAGGTAGGTCCTTTGGCTGTCAATCATGTAAGTTGCACTGTGCTAAAGAGAACCAGAATAAAAACATCTGTGGCAGAAATGACCGGCAGAATCCGAGACCAGGGAGAAGAGTCGGTGGAAGAAGATTGGAAGAAATTTAAAGATTATCTACAGAAATATTGTAAAATTAATGAATGTTAGAATGATGTTGGATAAAAACTTAAGTGGTTTTTAGCTATAACGCTATAAGGAATATGAAAAAATTGATTATTAACAGGTAAAAATTTAATGTTACAATATTTTAAGATTAAAGATTAGGATAAACAAAGAGGGAAAGGATTTGCTGAACTAATAAATTGAATTGGAATACAAAAAAGGGAGGTGTGAGGAGGTCCGGGAAACAAGCAAATGAAAGATAAGTGATGGAAAGATGGAATTGTTTTTTAACTATTTTTATTTTGGATTTTCTTTTTCTTTTTTCATTTTGTAATACTTTGAAAATTTTTAATAAATATCTTTTAAAAAATAAAATAAAAACATCTGTAGGTAAGTTTCAATCATTTGAACTGCTTTCAAAAATGGAAATTAAAATAATTCTGGACACTGCAGCTCACCCTCCCATTAACCCTTCACAAACTACAGTGCCCAGACTTCTTTGAAGAAAGGAAGGCACTTTCAATGTGCTTTGCAGGTAAACACAGCCTTTGGCTTAACGTCTAGCCCGAGGAAGAATTCTCATGAACTCGACAACTTGTCCACGACTCTCTGCGTTATTGCGCAACTGTCGCTTGTCGGTGTAAGCCGCAGAGCAGGATTTTAGAACTCCTTCCCCAAATCCCCTCCTTTTTCTTTTTCTTTTTGCAGGACTCTGCGAGCGATCGTGCCTTTCTCTCGCCTGCCGGCTTGACGCTTCTCCGACCTGCGCGAGGACCAGCTGAGCAGACCTGTTGCTTCGCCTCCTGCGCGCAGAAACCCGCCCCCTTGCGCAATCGGATCTCGGGATGCTCAGAGCAAGAGCTTTCCAACCTCGCTGGGCTCGGGAGGGCTATTTTTAGCGAGCTCATTCCATTTATATCCGCGGCAAACAAAGGCATCGACCTTAAGACGCTCCACGGCTTGGATAACCCCGACCCCCTGCAGTCCTCTCGCCTGCCGCTGCCTCTCCAAAGCCACGCGCAAAATCGTTTCTCTCCCGGACGTTTGGGGTCGCGGACGGGTCCAGCACGCGTTGCGCCTTCATCCCGTTTCCTCCTTCTTAGGATCTTCGGCTTTCTAGAGGGAAAAAAGCCCATTCGGGAGCTCAGGAAAGTAGGGTATATTCCGCCCCCCCCTCTCCATTTGGTTCCTCGCTGATTTCCCTCTGAAGCAGAAACATTCGCTCCATCCAAACTTTGGAGACGGCGCACGCGGCGGATCGCCTTAGAAATCCAGATTCCCGCTAGCACGTGGCTTCCCTCCCCCCGGGCCCCCCTCGATTTCGGAGATCGGGAACTGGGGAAAAAGGATCCCCAACCAACCACCACTCCCGGATCCTCGTCGCGCCGGTGAGAAAGAATGGTGGACATTTTCACTGGGCATTTCCTGGTGAACCGGGACGGCCAAGCCGTAGATCCCGAGCAAGCGCTGCAGAACAAGATCGTGGGCTTGTACTTCTCGGCCGCCTGGTGCTCCCTGTGCCGGGATTTCACGCCGATCCTGTGCGACTTCTACAGCGAGTTGGTGGAGGACGCGCCCTCGCCGGCGCCCTTCGAGATCGTGTTCGTCTCGTCGGACCGCAGCCGCGAAGAGATGGTGGATTACATGCAGAACATGCACGGGGAATGGCTGGCGGTGCCTTTCCAAGACACCTTTAAGCAGTGAGTAGGAGAAGGGAGCGGCTTGGGGGTGGAACACGTGTGTGGGAATGCAGAAGCCCGCGCAGAGGAGTGGGAGGCAGAGGAAGACCTCGCTCCCTCCCCCGCGTATGTAGATCTGCTTCCCCTCCGCCCACTCCGTGGTTAAACCCCGCCTCCTAATTCCAGGTGTGCAGGAATGGGGGAGGGAATCCTCTGGTGCTGCCAGGTAGGGGCAAAGCTCTCTTTAGCATTTATAGAGGTGCCTATGGTCCTCTATAAGTTGGGTGGCGCTGTGGTCTAAACCACTGAGGCTACGGCTTGCTGATCAGAAGGTCGGTGGTTGCAGGTAAGCAGGTTTGTCTGCTTACCTGCAACACCTGAACCCATCCTTCCTGGAAGTAGCAGCATACAAGGGGCTGTTTCCTTTTACTGTCACAACAGTCCCTTGAAGTATTTTAAGAGAAACTGCTCTCAGGTGAATCATAGAATCTTAGAGTTAGAAGGGACCTTGAAGGTCTAACTGTTCCTGACTCAACCTATTTCGCTACACTAACTCAACCTACCCACAACTCTAGCCCAATTCACTCCCACTCCAACCACCCAACTCCCAACGAACTCTTCCAAAGAACTCCCCCAGAGATGGTTTTATAGTCCCTCTGACTCCACCCCCCTGGGTCCTGATTGGGTAACCTGTTTAACTGTTTCACCTCCAGCACTCTCATGTTAATGTCACACCGACATCCAAAAACATGACATCCATTCACGTTTGTGCCCTGGCTTCTGTCCACAAATATCCACTGGCTTCTGCAGACTGTCTTCCAAAGGTGAACTTCCATCAGCCGACATCCACAAACATCCGTCTGCTTTAGCCTTGTAGCCTCCACCAACTTCCGAATCCAAAAGCCACTGACTTCCATCCACCAACATCTGCCAGCTTCTCTTAGGTCCATCATGAGATGTCCGCCAGCTTCCAACCACAGATACCAGCAGCCTTCAAGCAAGCAAACTTGCCTTATTATCACTCCCTAGCATCCCACCATCAGCGGATTGCCTCCTTCCATTCACCAGTTTGCCTCCTGCAAGTGGAAGAAACCTGGGCAGTGCTGAATGTCACATCCATTGCCAGGTGTGTCCTGCTGGAAATAGAAAAGGGCTTTCACCTTGGCCTGCCTTTATATCCACTCAGTTGCCAAGTGCTTTTGTGACATCACAAGAAACCCACAGCCAATGGCAACGGCTGGGGAGGAATCATCTTCATTGCTTTGAGCCTCACAATGGCGGGTGGACCTATCAGTGATTATGTGCTTGTTTACTCAGGATGCAGGTGGCGCTGTGGTCTAAACCACCAAGCCTTTTGGGCTTCCCAGTAAGAAGGTTGGCGGTTCGAATCCGCACAACAAGGTGAGCTCCTGTTGCTCTGTCTCAGCTCCTGCCAACCTAGCAGTTTGAAAGCACACCAGTGCAAGTAGATAAATAGGTACCACTGTGGTGGGAAGGTAAATGGCGTTTCCGTGTGCTCTGGTTTCCATCTGAAGCAGTTTAGTCATGCTGGCCACATGACCTGGAAAGCTGTCTGTGGACAAACGCCAGCTCCCTCGGCCTGAAAGCGAGATGAGCGCTGCAAACTCATAGTTGCCTTTGACTGGACTTAACCGGCCGGGGGTCCTTTACCTTTACCTTAGCTGGATACCCCTGGTGCATTAGAAACCCAAGTGACCTTGGTGGTTGGGAGTGCTTTTTACCAGCTTCATCTAGTACATCGGCCATGTCTGTATCCAGATGGGGATAACTTGGCCACTGCATTCCATGGACTAGGAACCTCAAAACGGATTATTGCAACACACTTTATGCGAGTTGTTGTGTCCTGTAGCACCAGCAGCTAGACTCCTGGCGGGGTCAGATGGCCAAGAGCATGTGATACCTCTGCTAAAACATTGGCATTGGCTGCCCAAATGCCACACAAGGCTCTTGTGTTGATATACAAAGCCCAAAACAACTTGGGTCTATGATACCTTAAGGAGCCATTATATCCCAGCTCAATCACTGATATCATCTGACAGAGGCATGTTACTTGTCTCTCATACAGTCTTCAATGGCACCTGGCATCACCACCACCTGGGGATAATTGGATCTGGACTGTTTTCTTTTTTAAAAAATATATTTTTATTATTTTCTTCCTTAAACAATATTTTCAACTATGCAATAACAAACATAAGCTTTCTGCTCTGCTGAGCATGCGACTTCCCTCCTTCCCTTCAGCAGGTTTTCCGCTTTCAAGTCCTGTCTCGCATTTTAGTTCTTTCACTTCTATTATCCACATTGAAGGATTTATTTCAGTCCTGCTAGTGTCTTCAGATTTTGCAATTATGATTCAAATATACAATAAATTTACTCCAGTCCCTTTGAAATTTTTGATTGTCCTGGTCCCGAATCCTGCAGGTCAGTCTGGCCAATTCTGCAAAGTCCGTCATCTTCGCCTGCCTCTCTGCAATCGTAGGTACTTCCTGTAGCTTCCACTTTGGGGCCATTAAAGTTCTCACTGCTGCTGTGGCGTACATAAATAGTCATTGATCTATCTTCACAATTTGCTCTCCCATCAAACCTAGCAAAATTGTTCCCAGTTTTTGTTTTTTTTGAGAAAGGTATATCTAAACATCTTTTTTAGTTCATTATAGATCAATTCCCAAAATGTTTTTACTTTATCACACGTCCACTGCATATGTTAAAAGTCTCTGTCTGATTCTTTGCATTTCCAGCATGTTTTGACTCTCATTCTATACATCTGGGGATAATTGGATCTGGACTGTTTTCAATCACTAATATTCTGTAGAATTCTATCAGCTATATTTTATCTATACGATTGGAACAGATTTCAGCAACCAAAAACGCTTTTTTTTTGCAGCCTGAGCAGGAGCAGTCACCATTAAGAAAAAGAGGCTGGAATAGAATCTATGTGTGGACTGTCCATTTCTTCTTTTCTTTTCTTCTTTAACTTTTCTACTATAACTTCTCACAGCTCTTAACCTAGCTCAAGGTCGTCATCTGAACTAGCCAGATGTTCAACTGAGAATCAACCACAGAATCAATCATTTGAAAAATCAGACTTTGGAGCTGTCTTCCCCCAAAATGGCATCTAGACATTCCATTTTGGTGACTGCAACCTTGGGTTAAGGAGCCATTTGGTGCCTAGTTTACACATCTGGGTTTCCAACACTTCCCTCATGTTACATGTTACGGAGGCCTGACTGGTCCCAACTACAAATTGGGTGTAATCCTAGGCTGTGAAACAATCTTCCAGCAGAGATTCAGCAGGCAGAGGTGTATAAGTACTTTTATAAACGAATAAATTAAATAAAGAATTCCTGAACTTGCTTCATCCCTCAGTTTGTCTGTATAATCCAGAGACCATCCGGAGATTTAAGCAAATCCACAGCATCGGGATAAGCACTGTAGTATTCTCTCTCTTCTCTCTCTCTCTCTCTCTCTCTCTCTCTCTCTCTCTCTCTCTCTCTTCTTTGGTCTGACTTTGTCTTGAGATAAATGAGCATGTAAGCAGCATGCAACATTATCTCTGATGGATGCAGCCCATTGTTTTGCATCACCCAATCACTTTGAATGTGCCAAAGTCTCAATGAGATGACTTTACTGACTGACCTTGCATGACGCAGCACATGTTTACCCAGAGGAGGAGTCTGGCTGTTTTCAAAACAATAATGCAGAAATCATTTCTCGCACTCCATACTACTGTAATTGGGTTGGAAAACTGCATGGGTGGAATCTAAATTATTCTGAGCTTGAAAACCCAACACCCAAAAAAGCCCCTAATTTAAGGGGGGGAATTATGCTCTTACAAGCTCACTCATACAAGCTCGATCATGCTCCAAAAAACATGGAAATTTTTAGTTAAGGCTTCTGCAGTCATTTTGGTTTCAGTGCTATGCACCTGGCAACAAGCTCTGCCAAATGTAGTGGAAGTGAGTTCTGTATAAGTATTCATGGGAGTGTGATATTAATGTAACATCTCGTTCTGGTTTGAAGAGTGCTTGAAATTTTTCAGAATATTGTCTGTGTGTGTTATAGAAAGCGCTTCTGTTATTTGAATTAGCACTTTAAACCAGGTGACTTTTTAAAGAGACTTACAATAAATTGTGTGCTTGTTGTTTTTTTAAATAACAACCCTATTACAATTCTTTTAACCAACTTTAAGTAAAAATAGATATTCAGTCACGCTTAATCCACTCTATTTTCTCTTGCACTTTACACCAGTGTGTTCCTCTTTCCCCGCCCCCTCTTTTTCTTTGCAGTGAGCTGAAGAAGAGATACAACATCACAGCCATTCCTAAACTTGTGATTGTTAAACAAACTGGAGAAGTCATCACCGATAAAGGAAGGAAACAGATAAGGGAACGGGGACTCAACTGCTTCCGAAACTGGCTGGAAGGGGCAGACATCTTTCAGAATTTCTGCAGCTGAACCAGTGGTGGGAATTTCAGACAAAGATAGCTTAGCTAAATCCTTTGTATCATCGGAATTCCCACCTTCACAACTAAGCCAAGCAGAGAAATGGCTTTTTCTTCGGATGGTATCTAACCAAATCATACCCAAGGCAGACCCATTGAAATGAATGGACGCGACTAACTGTGGTCCATTGCTTTCAATGGATCTACTCTGAGTACAACTTAGTTGGATACCCACCTTTGTTTGAATGTCGTTTTGCTTTATTTAAAATTCTGTGTGACTGGAAGAATTAAGCATAGCTGGGTCCAATGTACTCTTCCATCTCTTTTGTATTATTTATGCTTTTATTACATAGACTATAACCAAAGCTGAAGAATTTGGTAAAGGCTAGCATTATCTAGGAAAGAGGATTTTGGCAGTTAGAAAGAGTGCCCTCTCCAATCTATGCAAGCCTTTTATTTTTACAAAGGTAAAAACTCTACAGGGAAAACTATATTTCTTGGCAAGAAGACTTTTTTGGAGTATTGGTTTATAATTTATATTACTAAAATAAGAGAGTATTTGCTTTAATAAATCCATTTATAGCTTACTTGACTCCTTTACTGCGTACCAAATTGAAAACAAAAACTCGATGGCCTGTTATCTAATGCTTCTCTTGCTATTAGTTCATGCTTTCTGCTCTCTAGTAATATATTTCCCTCTGGAGTTTTTTGGGTTGCTTCTTATTCCACCCTGGTCTCTTCACTGCTAACAGGTGTTGGCCTTGCAAATGCTATACAACTTGTGAATCAGTGAGCCAATCACAGCCCACCAGTCATGGATGGCAGCCTGTCATGAGCTTGATAAACCTCTCTGTTTTTGCTCAGTTGTGTGGGCTTACAGAGCAGGCTTCCTCAACCTTGGCCCTCCAGGTGTTTAGAGACTACAATTTCCATCATCCCTGACCACTGCTCCTGCTAGCTACGGATCATGGGAGTTGTAGGCCAAAAACATCTGGAGGGCCGAGGTTGAGGAAGCCTGTTGTAGAGTCTTCACATCCACTTGGGACAAGAGAGAGAGCCACTTTGGCCAAGCTAAGAGATCAGGGAGATGAATATGGAAGAGGCACTAATTACAGTCCATGGATGATGGTCTAGGGCAGGGTTATCCAACTTGGTGCCTTTCAGATGTTGTTGAACTGCCATTCCCAGCAGCCCCAGACAGCATGGCTGATGGGGAGAGACAATGGAAGCGGTACTGTGGCAACGTCTGGAGGGTGTGACATTGGCCACCCCAGTCAGGTGACTTGATTCTTGCTCTGTGTGAGAGAGATTCCGGATTAAATTCCCGGATAAGCCCAGGGAAGAAGAAGAAGAGTTTGGATTTGATATCCTGCTTAATCACTACCCGGCTAACATTCTCCTTTCCCTTTCTCCCCCTCAACAAACACCGTGAGGTGAGTGGGACTGAGAGACTTCAAAGAAGTGTGACTAGCCCAAGGTCACCCAGCAGCTGCATGTGGAGGAGCGGAGAGGCGAACCCGGTTCACCAGATTACAAGTCTACCGCTCTTAACCACTACACCACACTGGCGTAGGGAAAAGAGGGGCTGCAGCTTTAGGGTTGAGGGGGCATGGTTCAGTGATTTTGCATGTCAAAGGTCTCAGATTCAATCCCAATTACAAGGATAAAGGAGCAATGGACACAAAAGACGTTTGGCGGAGACCCAGGAGAGCCACTTCCAATCCAAGTAGACTCTGGATGGACTCTGCATAAAGCATTTATTCCTGGAGATTGTGATGGGGCTTTCAAGCCAGAATATAGACGAAGCCTGGGCATTAGAAGATGTGTGTATGACAGGGATGGGACACCTGTGGCCTCTTAATTTTATGTGGCTGTCAACCTCATTTCAAAAGCCCTCTGCAAGTGGTAAGTTCAGACTTCTGCCAACACCATCTCTCCCTCTCCAGCAGCCTACTGGCTAGGTAAGAGTGGGAGAGGCTGAGAAAAGGGATAGCCTTGCCCACTTCAGATTCTGCCTCACCTGCCAACTATTATTATTATTTATCATAATTTAGTGTATTCTGACATCTCTTGATTATCTCTTTGTGGCAGCAACTGGCAGCTGCATCTCGCAGGCCTCAGAGTGGATATAAAATTCATTTACTGTAGTCCTTATGATACATTTCTACATATTTTCAGTCTCACATGGGACACACAGCAGCCAGGCACAACTCTCAACCCAGAGAAGTGAGTCTGCTGATGGCCGTCTTGTATCCAGTCTGGTCAGCTCACCCAATCCTATATTATTATTATTATTATTATTATTATTATTATTAGTTGAATTTATAAACCACCCTATACCTGGGGGTCTCAGGGCGCTTGACAGAATAAAATTGAGATATAAAATCACAAAAAACATAATAAAAATAAAAACAACAACCCAATAGCTCCCCCTCCAAAAAACCCCAACCTTTTAAAAGGGCATAGGATGTAAATCAGATCAACCAAAGACCTGGTTAAAAAGGAACGTTTTTGCCTGGTGCCTAAAGGTGCATAATGAAGGCGCCAGGCGAACTTCCCTGGGGATGGCATTCCACAGATGGGGAGCCACTGTAGAGAAGGCCCCGTTCTCGTGTTGCCACCCTCCGGACCTCTAGAGGAGGGGGCACACGAAGAAGGACTTCATCCCTTCCAGTGTTTGGCACGTGGCATTCAACATTATCCCAAAGCGACCCACAACAGAAAACAGGGTGCCCACCCAGGTGTGCAGAATAACATGCAATGTGGATGGAAAGAGGCCACCTGGAACCAACGTCAATGTTAGAACGCTCTGTGATGTTTCCAAAGCCTACAATTAAGCTAGAGCTCTATAATTTTTTCTCCCCCTTCTGTCTTTCTTCAAGGGCAATGTGAATTTGATATAGGAATGGCCTGCCCATCTTCACCACCTTGATTTCTTTCTCACTGGTTGTGCAAGAAGCAGCTCACATTTTACAACCTGCAAGCTGTGCCTTTGATAAGTAAAATGCCTTTAAGAGGCTCCCTCCTCTGTGCAGATATGAACCTCTGGAGGCTTAATTGATAGGGATGCGGCTTCTGGTTAGCAACAGCCATCTGTGCTGTGGGAACAAAAGGCTCATATTTCCCTTGTAAAGTTCAACTCTGATATTGTTGTTGATCAGAGGCATTACAACCAGATACTCGGCGTAACCCGTAAGATACCCTTCTGCATAGAAGGATGTGCCTAGCTTTCTGGGCACCTCCAGACTGGTGGTGTTGTTTTTATGGGTGTATTCTGCACCATATTCATTGACGCAGTAATAGAGCACCACTGGTTTACTGGATCATCCACATATCATTTTTCTTTCTTAGCTGTTCTGTGGTGCTTCTCCACTGTTACTGCATCATCGCCAGCCGGAGGGGCGCTCCTGTGCTATAATGCAAGAAAAAGGACAAAACCCAAAACCAAACACCCATGAACAGATTTTTTTTTTAAAAAATATTATTATTGCAAAATAGTCTACATAAAACAGCACATTTTTTGTTGGGGGGGGACCCATATTTCAAGATCCGAAGGGGGATTCTGATCATCTTCTTGCTACTGCATTAATGTCCAAATCAGACCAAATCAGTCCAAACAGAGTTCATAATTCTATCCAATCTGATCTTGCTGTTTCCACATCACATCTTGTTCATATATTTTCTCTTTTTTCTTTATGATCTCTTCTGATAGTCTCCTTAAGCCGATAAACACCAATATTAATCCTGTGTGAACAAAATTTACAACAACAAAATTTAAAATTCGGCTTTGTAATTCGGAATTTATGTGATGTGATTTAATTTGATTTGATTGGCAGGTTAATAAAAATTATTTTTAAAAAAATACATAAAACAACACAGACAAACAAAACAAAAAAGAACAGTACATCAGTAACAACTACACACACACTAACAACAATTTTTTTAACTTCATACACATTTTGGACTTCCGATTCACCTTATTGTGCTTTCTACATATTCTTAGCCTATAAGCCAGGGGTTAGCAAACTTTTTCAGCAGGGGGCCAGTCCACTGTTCCTAACACCTTGTGGGGGGCTGGACTATATTTTGAAGGGAAAAAACATGAACAAATTCCTATGCCCCACAAATAACCCAGAGATGCATTTAAATAAAAGGACACATTCTACTCATGTAAAAACACACTGATTCCCGGACTGTCCGCGGGCTGGATTTAGAAAGCGATTGGGCCAGATCCAGCCCCTAGGCCTTAGTTTGCCTACCCATGCTATAAGCACTTCCTGATATATACATTGCATATCACAAATAAATTCTTAAGTTTCTAGCATTCCTTAATATTCAAGATTCAGTCCAAACCTCTCAGGAGATCTGCATTTTCACCATATTGTTTTATATATTCTTTAAATATTACCCAATCTTTACTCACTTTCTGATTTGTGTTTCCTCTTATTCTCCCAGTCATTTTTGCAAGTTCCAAGTATTCTATCATCTCCACCTGCCAGTCAAAGAACAGGTTTTAATGGGTGCACACCCATCACAAACAAAGGAGTATGTCATTTGCAAAACATTTGCAGACACAATTGGTACTGAAAGCATTATTGTGTAATGACTGCCCCAATTAGCATCATGAAGACAAATCATGATGAATGCTGAATTTAAAAAAGGATACCTGGAGGGGCATTGAGATCCTTGAAATTGACTGAATTGGCAATGTTAACAATTTTAAGCATTGTACCCATATTTCAAGAAGTAAAAATCTGGACACAAAAAGTTGTTGAGCTTTTGTTGGGAAAGTTGTTGAGCTGTTTGGTGATTTCCTATAAATAACCTGGATTCTAATTAAATCATTGGAATCCCGGACATGTCTGGGAAAATCTGGACATATGGCAACCCTATACACAAGCCCAATTAAGTTGTTGATTTGGAAGAAGGACAGTGCCAAGGGCCTTCTGGCAGTTCCCTCCCTGCGAGAAGCTAAGTTACAAGGAACCAGGCAGAGGGCCTTCTCTGTAGTGGCACCCACGCTGTGGAACGCCCTCCCACCAGATGTCAAAAAGAAAAACAACTACCAGACTTTTAGAAGACACCTGAAGGCAGCCCTGTTTAGGGGAGTTTTTAATGTTTAATAGATTATTGTATTTTAATGTTCTGTTGGAAGCCGCCCAGAGTGGCTGGGGAAACCCAGTCAGATGGGCAGGGGTTTTTTTTATTATTTATTTATTTAAACAAACCCTGCTTGGCTAGGATCCAAGGAGTTTCTTCATAACATGTAAGGGACTTGCCATAGTGTGGAAACATTGACCTTTTCACCTTTTGACATCACCAACAGTTTTAAAAAAAACATTGGTTTCAAAAGCAGTTGGGTGGGCAGCATCCAGGACTATTGATGAGCAGAGCAAATCTAAAGTACACACCTTGGGCTCAAAGGCTTGACATTCAAGGCACTGCTGCCCATTTGCTGGCTCTCAGACCTTGTTGGGGGGCCAGACTATTTTTTTTTGGGGGGGGATGAACAAATTCCTATGCCCCATAATAACCCAGAGATGCATTTTAAATAAAAGGACACATTCTACTCATGTAAAAACACGCT